AGTAGTAACCATCACTGCTATCTATCTCTACAACTCTTTATCCCCTGTGGACTCTATTCATTCGACATGAATTCTCTAGTCCCTGTTCCTTCAGACCCTGACAACCACACATCTACTTTCCTTCTCTGTAAGTATGACTACATTCTACAAAAGAATCTGATAGTATTTTTCCTTTTATTTTACCCAATGTCTACAAAGTTTAGCCATGTTGTCCCATATATGAGAATTTCCTCCTTTCTAACAGCTGAACAGTATTTCATCATACGTGTATAAATTTATATTATATATATCATATATCACTTTTTTTAACCCATCCATGTCGGTAAACACTTCTGAGCTGGGTGGGCACAGTCATACCTGACTATAATCCCAGCTATTCGGGAGGCTAAGATTTCAAGTCTGAGACCAGCATAGGTAAAGTTAGCAAGATCTTATCACAAAACTCAAAGGTGAGAGAATGCTTATAAGAGGTCCTGGTGTCAATCCAGTACTGGAGAAAAAAATAGACATTTGTGTTTTGGAGCTACCTTTTTGGCTGTTATGAATATTACTGCTGTGTAAATAGTATACAAGCATGTGTTCTAATCCTTTCCTTTATTTCTTTTGAAGAATTATTGGGTCATATGGTAATTTCATGCTTAATTTTTTGAGGAATTGCTTCCAATTTCTCCACATCTTCACCAACACCTATTATTTTCTAGGTTGGTTTGGTTTTGGGGTTTTGGTTTTTGCTTTTATTATGAGTTTTATTATGAGTTGAAGTGCTATCACATTGTAGGTTAAGCTTCAGTTTCCCTAATGTTTAATTCTAATAACATCTATCTATGTGTGTATTGATACTTTAAAATTTTTTATTTATATTTATATGTATTACAAACATTTATCCAGATCGAATACTTTCCAGTTTTGTTTATTGCATTTCAATATATTATGTATTGTAACACATTATGACGTATTACATGTTACAATCTATTACATTTCAACATTTCCTTTTTCATGGAATGTCCCAAACATAGTTGAATACACATTCTTCCTTTCATTTATATTTAGGAAATGTTCTCCACTCTGAGAGCAGAAAAATACTAATACATATGTTTCTCTAGGGCCTTCCTATATACATTTTATTTTTATCATCTTAATATATCTATAATTTATGTCATTATGAGATATGAAAGAAATCTATTTTTTCCAAATGATTAATCAGTATTTTAAAAATCATTTCTTGAACAATTTATTCTTTCTTCCTTGATTTGAAATGCTACATTTATTATGTAATAGATGGTAATATGTGCTGGCTTCTCATTTAGAGTCATCTGTTATATTCTAATGACTTGTAAATTTATTTTTGCACTTAGATCTCCCCTGTACAGTACTTTTTACATGGCTACTGTGTTTAAACTATTGTAGCTTTATAATACAGTCTGATAATTCATAACACCAACACACTGTTCAGTGTTTTATTATCTATCTATACTTGTTTTGTTTTTCTCTCAGGTTATAATAATACCTTGGTTAAAACACTCTTTGTGCAAGAGAACATTCAAAATCCCTTCTTCTGACTTTTCAAAATATGTAAAACATAATCTCTAACTCTAGTCACCCTACTAAGCAATAGTTCACCAGAACTTCTTATTTCTATACAATTACAATTTTGTACATTGAAGAAATGAGAATAAACATTTGAGAAAGAAGATATGTTTATCTTGATTTAGACTTTATACAATATATACATGTATCAAAATATTATATGCTGTTGCAGAAATATGTGCAATTTTATATATATTTGTATCAGATAAAAATTAAAATTTCCAAAAGAAAAAAATGAATAATATGTTGAAAGTAATTGCACTCAACTTCTAAGATCATTTAATGAAATCTTAGCAATAATGAGACTTCTTATCCAGACATATCATATATTGGCTTAGTTTTCAAACATTTTTTAATATTTCTCCTTGATGCTTGGGAATTTTTAAGTATATGTATCATTTTTATCTATTTATATATGCTATATTTTTATATATTTATATTTTAATTTTATTTTTATTTAATTACATTCATTCACGGAGGAAGGTTTCTTTTATCTGTCTTTTCATTTCTCGTGGATTACCAGTTCATAGCCTTGTGCATTTGGTAATATATATCAATTTCCTACTGCTATTTTAAAAGTCTTTATACTTATATGTATTACAGAATATATATATATATATATATATATATATATATTCTGCTTAATTCTCCATTAATCACTTTCTTAGTATCTGAATCTGTTGGGTTCCTAAACCAAAATACTGAGAACTGTGTGTTTAGTTCACAAACAATAGCAATGCATTTCTCATAGATCTGGAGCTTAGGGAGTTGTGATGCCTGGTGGGCCTGCCTTTCCTCTTGATGCCTTCTATAGCTGCTCCTCTCCTGGAGCCAGGGGCAAGCCAGCTCTGTGGGGCCTCTTTTATATGGACACACACCCATTCACACGGGTTCCTTGCTCATGATCTCCTCATCACCAAAGGCTTTACCTCTTATTACCATCTCGTTGGTTTTGGATTTCCGAACTACTGGAGGGGAATGAGCATTGGGAACATAGCCCTGGATATTTCATATTCCAAGTTACTAGTATGAATCATTTCTTTTATACTTTCTAACTAGTGACAGTTGGCATATAGGAAACTCACGGTTACCACCCATCTCTCTGGAAACCACTAAAACCACACAGAGATATAGCTCATGATGCTCTGAAAGTTCAACATCAAGACAAATCTGCTTCCCGCAATATCCTGTTGTAAAATCCCCCTTCTGCACAAATTCCAAGCTTCCCACTTACGTCCACAATTAAAAGTGAGACTAACTTTTCTGTATTAAAGACAAGTAAGATGCCTGGCCTACTAAAAATATGCCAGGACTGGATACGAAGTAGTTCCAAATGACTCTTTGGCAAGTATTGGAGTAGTCATGTGGTTGGAGTTTGGCCTTTGGCCTCTTTATCTGATGGATAGTATTAATAGATATCCTAATATTAAACTCTTTTGACATTCCTGGAACAAGTCCAACTTGGCCATGAGGATTTTTTTAAATTAACTCCTGAGCTTTCGTTGCCAAGATTTATTATTTTTGCATCCATATACATATAGGAGACTACAATATATCTGTCATTTTTGTGTTCCTGGTAAGACTAATTTAAAGACAATGTCAAGTTTTTGAAGGAAAAAAAAACTGATTGAGAAGATGCTTATGGGTAAGTTGTTTTAATTTCCCTCCGTGGGACAATTTGTAGAAGCCAGAATGAATCTCTTCTTTGAGTGTGTTGGGGGTAAATGTTGCCAATAATATATAAACCTAGCACCTGTCTTAAAATAAAAATGGAAAACATTTTTTCTGTTTTTTTATTCTGTTCTATTTCATTCCAAATTGGCTTGATTCAATTTTGTTAGTTTTTGTTTTGCCAGAAAATTGTCCATCTCATGTAATTCTTCATAACAGCTCTGGATGTTTGTATCAGGAGAGCTATAAGACCTTCCTCCAATCTCAATCTCATCCCATCTGGTCTCAAGAAGACAACTTTGAGGCTTTCATCCCAGAAACACTCCCTTTTGTAGCTCTCTATTTCTGTATAAATTGATCCTTCAGATCTGGATCTGGAATTAGAAGCATTAAACATCAGTACTCAGATCTCTACTTTACCAAGAGAAAGAACCCTCTGTCCCTTCTTCCTAAAACCTTTTGTCTTTTGTATTCCCTCCTATTGCTCCTCTGTATGAATGTGTACTGAACTCTGGGCTCATGCTCTTGTTTGTTTCTTTCTCTCAAGACTGGTTTACCACCATAAGTCCTGCCCTAATCTTTGGTGTGTCAAATGCCCTGGTTTAGACCATAAACACTTCTCCTCTTATAATCTCCTTCCTCTTCCACCTTCTATGCCTATCTCCAACTCCAAGAGCATTTGCAGGACTTTGTCCACATCAGAATGGATCCTGTCCTTTCCAGAATCTCACTTGCAAGCTTGCCACCCCATGCCTGACATCTGGTATCTTTCCAGGCCATTCCCTTTAGCACTGCTGTTCCACTCAAGCATGAATTTTATTATACCAGTAAGTTTTCTCTTCTCTGATCTTTATTTGTTTAAAAACAAAACAACAATAACAACAACAAAAAAAAAAACTCCTCAGAGCCAAACACTGGTGGCTCATACCTGTAACCCTAGTTACTCTGGAGGCTGAATTCTGAAGATCAAGGTACAAAGCCTGTGCAGGCAGGAAAGTCTCTGACACTTGTACAGAGATGGGGCAGATAAATGAAGAAGAGGGGAAGGGAAGAATGAGGTTAAAAATTCAATGTATAGTCTACAAAATTAAGAAGAGTGAGGAAAAGATGGGTAGGGAAGAGATGGTTGAAAGGAGTGATGATCATAAACTGCTTTGTTAAATGGCAACTTCTTTGTATAACTACTTAAAGATAATTTTTAAAAACATGTCATGAGAAAAAAAAATTGGCGAGATCAGACAGAAGGTCTTAGAAGTGGACAGAAAGGCTTAGGTTTGTAAGACAAGGATACAAGTTGCCATTCATGTAATAGTGAAGTCAAAGATGAGTTGGCATGAAGACCACTTGAAGCCAGAGATGTGAGCAATCTCATCTTAAATGACTACAGAGAGGAAATAGGAAGCCAGAGAAAAGAGCAGATGAGAGAAAATGCAGACAGGTACAGAGTCTAGTTCCTACTTGGAGCCAACTCCTCAGAATCAGAAAGGAAAAAAGTTAGAATTCAATCAGGAGGATCTTTACCTGGCTGCTCATCTATTTAAAGTGAACAAGCACTGTAATTTAAGAAAGAATCCAAGATCAGAGCTAAAAATCTCAGTGGAGTGGACAAGAAGTATCAAGAATACCAGCTCTTAATCTCACAGTTTGTAGAATCTCACAGCTTTTCTGTGTTGCTTTCCCTATAAGGGACCCTTTGCCATCAAGACTGATTGTGAGCCCCAATAATCTATATTCAAGTCTACCTGTGAGTCAAGAAGGCAAAGTAGGCCAGCTCCAGCCAATAAGGAAACAGTTGTTTTGGCCTCTATGATACAGGTCATCTCTTTATAAAGCTGAAAACCAGCAAAGGGTCAAGTAAAAAGGTCTTGGACGAGAGTAATTTTCTCTAGTTAGAGAGTTTTTCTGGAAAATATAGCTACATATATGTGTATATATGCACACAATACAAGAAACTTCTCTGATCATCATTTTGATAAAAGTCTTCCTTTCCAAACAAATCTTATTCTAAAAGCACAACTCCCCACCTTGGAGATTAATGACTTTTATGAGATTGCATGGTTGATTTCTTTTACTTCATTTATTTTCCAGCATATATTCAACCAAAATTTCATCAAGCAAAGCATATATGACTTAGATATGCATGCAAAAATCTTAATTATGTATTGAATTTAGCCTTTGCTAGCTTGCTTTTGTATTAGAAAGTCAATCGTTAGACTAGATAGAATTTCTTGTTCCTCAGACGCTGGACCTGATGGGTTATCAGAGAAGCAAGTCGAGTTTTTGTCTTTTGGTGTTTTCTTGTGTTTTGTTTTTATATTTAGTACTTAGTCTGGTAGATCTTTCAGTATTTCATAAGTATTTTCTGGTTGTTGGCTGAATTTCCCATAAGTCATTTGATGTTTCTTAAACCTTGTTTAAAAAGCAAACCTATTAAGCTGAATTCACTGGCACCTGTTCATTTAATAAATGTTGCTGGATAATTATTTTGTGGGTCTGTCAGTTCACTGGTAACCATCTTCAATGACCTTGACTTGGTAATGGACAAGAAATTCCCAAGATCAAGTTTCATTATTGTCAGTTTCTATGGAGTGGATTTTTTTTTTTTTAGCCGCTGTCCAACTTCTATCTCTTCTGTTCAGGAATATGTCCTACACATGAAAGTAATCAGAATAATGTTCTATGAATAAGTTACAGGAAGCAAAAAAAAGGGAAAAATCCAGCTTACAAAATTAAAATATGCTACCTATGATTCTACTCATCAATACAAGAAAGGACCTGATGTAAAACTCTTATTGGACTACAACTCAAACCACTGAATTTTCTCAAATGTGCCTATTTTTAGTCACTGCGAATGCTTTTACTGGATCATCCATGAGCCTGTAATTTCATGGATTTTATGAACTTGTCAAAGGAAGATATATATTCTCTTTCCTTTGTTATTTGTTGATTTCTTCTTATGGTTAAAGTTATTTTGGCAAGGCTTCTTACATAAGCTGTCTGCTTCTAATGACTTTTCCATCTACCAAACTGAAAAAAAAAATCCATAATTGATTTTTTTCTAAATCAATCAGTTTTTTCTAAATCACTTATGTTGGCAATTGTGTTAAACTTGTATATCAGGAGCCTGGAGCAAAATGCCAAGCCATCTACTTTCATGATCCTTCCTGTTTCTTCATTGGACCTTTACTTATAAGTCGGTCCAGAGCCTGATGGGACAGCTTCTCAAAGACCCTGCATCTTGCCCAGGCATCTGTTTTACAGACATTAGATAGCAGCTACAAGACAGAAGGAAACTCATGAAAGCATCAGGTTTGACCATGACCCCACTGGTCAGACTGAAATGCCCCCTGCTAGTACATGAGCATTGTAATAAGACTATATTTTAATGTCATCTACAAAGATACGGTCTTTTTTTAAGTGAAAGCAAAAGAAAGAAGGAAAAGATGGAGAACAGATAGAATGAAGGAGGAAGGGATACAGAGGGAAGGAAGAGAGAGAGGGAGATGGAGGGAGGGTGAAGTAAGGAAGGACATTTCATCTAGGACTGGCCTAAGGATGCCTTCTTCCAGCATATGAGCTGCAGTAGCTGCAAAAAGTATGAATTTTTTTGTTTGTTATCTCTTACCTTATCTTAAACCAGAGCATGCAGTGCATGGAGGGTGTCCTCTCTGGAGAAACAGATGAGGAAGAAAGCAGGTTGAACAAGAATGTGGTCTCACCCAAAGTTTCACTTCAGCCAGGACTCTGGAGCACAAAGCACACACAACGCTGTTTCTGTTTTAAGCAATGTGATTTTTAAACTTTGTAATGGTCAGGTCTGACCTCAGATGGAAAGTCCCATTAGTTGAGGGTAGCTCTGAAAGAGCAGAGATCTGTGAGCCAAAGCAGCTGAGGAATAGGAACAAGGCCTTGGGAGCATATTACTGACCCGTCCTGCTCTCCCAACATATTCACTTTCTGTTTTTCATGCTCCAAAATTTGGAATTTTGTAAATAGTTTTGCTAAAAGATAGAATCAAATCAGTAACCAGGCCTGGTGGCACACACCTCATCCCAGCTCAAAAGGCTGAGATAGAAGGATTTCAAGATCCAGACCAGCCTGGGCTACAAAATGAGGCCCTTTTTCAAGAAACAGAGATAAAATAAATAAGCTTAGTATAGGCTGATAGACCCCTCCTTGACAGAAAGTGTATATCTACTCTGCAAATGAGGTAGTCACACAACTAATTGTTTACCCACAGTTATTTGGAGGACAGGCTGTTCTGCAGACATTCCCTGGCTATAGCTTCTGGCACTGCACAGGTAGCCAGAATTACTATGGGCCATCCACAGCATGAGCCAGCCATTTGCCATATATTTCTAGTATATTTCTTATGTTCAGCACATACACACACACACACACACACACCATGAACAAAGCCTGAGAGTTGCTTTCTTTCCAAAACCTTGCAGAAGGGTACCTTAGGGACCATGACAGAAAATAGCAAGTGTGTCAGGTTGGAGATACAGTTAGAAATGCCACAGGGGATCCAAGGGAGCCCCCACCAGCTGCTGCTGTAGGAACTTGAGCCGCAGTCATGCTGTGAATGCTCAAGTCATGACTGGCCAGAGCTCCTCAGGTTGCTATCCTCAGGAACCTGATTCTTCTTTGCCTACTGGAAAGACAGCAACATAGATTCTTGAATTGGATCACAGTATGCATGACCAGCTGCATCCTTTGTAGGGCCTAATGCATAGGAAATACCTCCTTGGTCACGTGGTTTGTTTTTTAAGTTTACATGACAGTCACAGCAATGAACATTAAACCAAGCTCAAGGTCCATTAAATACAAGGCCTGTGCATCAGCCCAATCCCCATGGGATAGCTTAGCAGAGGAAAAAAGGGGCAGGGGAGGTGGGAATGGGAGGAAAAGGATGGCCATTTCATTTGGGCATGCTGGACAAAGTGATGGAGGTACATCATTTTCTTTAGTACTCTTTGCACAGAAGAGGCTGAGGCTCGGGACATTAAAGCAGGAGGGACATTGCCTTGCTGCATTCACCTGGCTGATGCTTATTCACATTGAGATTCACTTCTGAACCTCAGACCCTGTTTGTTAACATTTTCACATCCACATTACAATAAAGGCTTGTAGGGGTACATTCATAGCTGTTTTCAAAATATTTTCACTGCAAGGCCAAAGAGTGAGTAAACATTTGATAACAAGTGCTTTTTGGGGGGGTTGTGTGTGTGGCCATGTGTCTGTGTCTGTGTCTATGTGTACTTAGTTTGTGTTTGTTTGTGCTCATCCTAGCCAGGGCTTGAACTCAGGACTTGGGTACTCCCCCTGAGTTTTTTGTTCAGTGTCTGTGACTGGGATGATGATGATGATAAGAAATGTAAATGTAAGATAAAGAAGGAAAGTGAAAGGACAGAGGGGAAAGGGAACAGTGGGTACTAAGAGAGAAAAAAGAGACAACAGGGAGAAGGGAAGAAAGGAAGCATGTCCTGGCCAGTTTTTACAGGTCATTTTACAAAGCTTGTTTTATTTAACTTCACAACAACCTTCTCAAACAGGTTCTGCTTTTACGACCACTTTGTAGATGCAGAACAAGAAGCTTAAGTTCCATAAACTGCTGACGGCTGAAGGCCCAGGGTTTATACAAAGAACCTATAATGTTAACCTAGGAAGACACTCAAAATATACTCTGGGGCAAGCCAGAGGAGCAGATTCCAAGATGATCCCAGACTTTGTAAATCATAACTGCAAGAAAATAACAAAAATTAGTCAGCTCTACTCAAGAATAACAAGGAGAGTGAATGAAAGCATCTAAATCCTTTATTTATTGGTATTTATAGAGGTCTTCTATCTGCTTATATGGGTTTCTTTGTTCCTTTCCTTTTCTTTTTTTTCCTTTTTTTTCTTTTGATGCCATTCCTTGGGTTTGAACTCAGGGCAAGAACAGTCACTAAGCCTTTGTGTGTGTGTGTGGGGGGGGGGGTTGTGGGGCCTGAACTCAGCCTGGGTACTGTCCCTCAGCTCTTCAGCTCAAGGCTAGCGCTCTACCACTTGAGCCACAGCTCCACTCCTGACTTTTTCTGCTTATGTGGTGCTGAGGAATCGAATCCAGGGCCTCATGCATGCAAGGCAAGCTGTCCACCACTGAGCCACCTTCTCAGCCCTCACTAAGCCTTTTTATTAAGCACTGGCACTCTACCCCTTGAGCCACAGTTCCATTTCCAACTTTTTGGTGGTTAATTGGAGATAATCTCATGAAAATTCCTACCTGGGCTGGCTTCAAACTCAGATCTCAGCCTCCTGAGTAGCAAAGATTACAAGCAATGAGCCACCAGCCTGCCTACACATTTCTACCCATATTTCCCAAAGTTAAGCCTGTGCCAGTCTCTCAACTCAAATGATTCCATTTAGAGCCTTCCCGCAGAAGACTCTCACCCCAGCTATGTTGAAGGCAAAGCTAGTGGTTCACTGTTAGGTATGAATAGACAACTAAAGCCTGAATGCAAAGGGCACCTTGCATACACCAAACAACCAACCTAGAGAAAAGAGAAGTAATACATGGAGTACTCATAACTAACTGCAAACTTTTAGAGAGATTCAAGAATTGGGACCATACCAAAAAACTGGCTTCAATTTCTTTTTAAGGAAATCAACAACCAATCTGTGAATTTTTAGAAAAAAAAAAAACTTCTATCTAACTTTTCGTGTATTGATTAACAAACAATTTTTTTTTTTTGGTCGGCCATGGGGCTTGAACTCTGGGCCTGAGCGCTGTCCCTCAGCTCTTCAGCTCTACCACTTGAGCTACAGCACCACTTCTGGTTTTCTGGTGGTTTTATTGGAGACAGGAGTTTCACGGTCTCTCCTGCAATCCTCAGATCTCAGCCTCCTGAGTAACTAGGATTACAGGCGTGAGCCACCAGCACCCGGCTTAACAAACAATTTTTAAGTAGTCAGTTCAAGGTCTGAAAAAATGGACAAATTTGAAGACTGAATCTCTGAAATGAAAGATAAAGTAAAGATCACCTAACAAATATGATATAGGATAAAGAATATATAAAAGGATTCCATTGTGTATATGTATGCCACATTTTCTTGATCCATTCATCTACTGGGTGGTATATCTACACAATGGAATTCTATGCTTCCATCAGAATGACATCACCCCATTCATAAGGAAGTGGAAAGGGTTGGGAAAAAAATCATATTAAGTGAAGTAAGCCAGACATAGGGTCCGTGGTTTCTCTCATTTGTAATAATTAGTATATGTCTAGGACGTCTAGTCCTAGCAGAAGTTCACAATAGCTCAATAGCTATGTACATATGACCATATAAAATGATGCTAATCAAAATGAACTCCAAGATTTGTTGTTGTTGTTGTTGTTGTTGTACTGTGTGAAGTTATTTCTTTTTCTCTCATTTTTTCCTTTTTTCTTTTCCTTTGTTTTATCCCCTGATGTCACTGTTTTTTATTTTCATACCCTATATGTGTGTGTGTGTGTGTGTGTGTGTGTGTGTGTGTGTGTGTGTTTGTATATATGTTTATCAGATTTGAGGAAGGGAAGGAGAATAACAAAATGGTGAGACAAAGGACAAAGGGTGAACAAACAGTGATATTCACAGATACCATGTTGGAAATGAACTTTACAACTTGGGGGGGGGTTGGGGGAGAGGGAAAGTGGGAGGAAAACGAGAGCTGGGGTGGCAATGTTTGACAGAAATGTTCTCATTGCCTTACTTATGTAACTGTAACCCCTCTGTAAAACCTTCACAATAAATTAAATATATATATATATACATATATATATGTATATATATATATATATAAGGGAAGGTTCTGGACATATTAAAATAGCTATAGTCAACTAGTCATCTCCACTGAAACAAAATGCCTAAAACAGAGATGAGCAGATAAGGAAAGAGAAATAACAAAATTAAGAAAACAAAATTCAAACAGGAAAAATACCAGCAAAAGAAAATTGGATTTATGTGTTCCGTTATAAAAGGGCTCAATACGTACCAAGCAATTTAAGGACAACTATAGAATGAACAATGAATTTGAAAGCAACCCTAGCAGAGCACAGTAACATTTGTAACGGAAAGGATAGGGAATTTTTCTCAAAGGTCACCAGAAATTAAGAAATAAATGACCTTCTCATTATGAGAATCAGAGAGGCAACAGACAGAGACAAAGTCAAGGGCCTCAGCATTTAACATTTCGAATAGAAAGTGTGCTCAGTCTGGAGCCCAATATCAAATCACTTGGATGGTTCTGAGGGAGAAAGTACATTGGTACAAATTAAACCCTGGGAAAAGCATTTCAAAGATGTTGTATTAGAAATATGTCTCCTTGGTCTCAGAACCAAGGAGAATAAGAGCAAAAGCAGCTCAGAATATATAAGAAAATGTAATTCCCTACTTCAATAAAAAAGTCTACAGTGATTCCAAGAATTCAGTTCGAATTTCTGATGATGAAAATATTCCCAATAAACTAGGATTTATTCACTTACAGTAAGAATACACCAGAAATGTAGCCATTAATCACAAGTCTTGGAACGTGAAAAATGAGATAAAAGGCATTCTTGCCCATGTTGCCCAAAGTTGTTCTAGAAATCTCACCACAGGAAGAGATAAGCATGCACCTGTATTGTAGACAGACATTATTATCAGCTTATATGGAAGTCTTTTAAAGTAATCAATTGTAACTTTTATGACTAATAAGACAACTCCATATGCTCTGATTGCAAATTACATTGTTTCTTTGC